AGGCGTGGGGAGGCACTTTTCCTCTGCCCGGCAGCTGTGCGGGACCCCAGTCGGAGCTGGCCCGAGGAGAAGGAGGATCCTAGGACCCAGGTGAGCGAGCCCCGGGAATGCTGCTGCGCATGTGCGGGAGTTGCCTCACCCCGTTCGTATCTAGGGATCCGACATAAGTCGGATCCACGTAAGTCGGGGACTGCCTGTAATTACATTTGTGCCAATCCTCTTTATTTTCTCAATTTTATTAAAATGTAAGGCTAGCACTTTCAACTCTGGGTGTCAAAAGTTAAGTTCTTGGGTCAAATTCTATGCCTTTGCCCAGGGCTTACCCATTAAAGTCAATATGGTTGCACAGGGTTTCAGTAATCACAGAATTCGGCCCCTAAATCCTTAACTCCATTCAGAGCCCCTTTCAGAAGTCAGCTCCTGAAAATCAGGCTATTTATTTAAGTGCCTACATATGGATTTATGTGCAGAACGTTAGATTAATTTTATGTTTGAAAATGTTTGCCTAAAATTTTATAATCTAGACTTCTGGAAATGTCAGTTAATCCTAATGTGCAATTATTATACACGTAGCTCTTTTTTCTCAGTAAATATTTACAAATGATGTATTGCATGAGTTTGTGATGAGGAACTTACCTTAAATATATTAAGATATTTTTAGCAAGAAAATCTAATATATTTGAGTGGGAAGTTCTGTATTCATTTTAATGATCAGAAACCTAAGAAATCAAATCAAATCTGTCTCTACTTTGAGTTTAGACAAGAACTAGAAACATTTTCAAAGCCACCATGTTCTTCCTACATAAAAACGTAAAGATACAGTCTAATAATTCAATATCCACATTTGCATTTGCAAAATCAATGGACTGTATTGCCAGGAAACAATAGAAGAAAACTATAGTCATTGTTGCTCAGTGACAATGTTAAACAACAAAACATTTTTCCAGTATCTCAAGATGACACACACATATTAAGTGAATGATCCTGTAAGAATATTTTAAATAAGATAGCTAGAACAGCAGTATTGTTATAAAAATGATTTAGAATAATTAACAATTGGTCCATTATGAACACTTCTCTTAACTGATTCCAAAGTCTCCTGTTTAGAGTATTTCATTTACCTATTTACAAGAAACAAACACATACCTCTCTTTTGCAACGACAATACCCAGTAGCTGGTCTTCAAGTCCCTCTGGTGTTATCATAAAGTTGAGTAAGGAAACTTTTGTAGCCAGTTCAGGCATGTAATGTGGATTTCTTAGTTTTGTTGTAATAAAAAATTTGAAATCATTGGAATACTCAATAATTGTCTCACCAAGCCGGATGCAATCCATGCCCCCTAAAGTTCAGAAGACAAAAATGTGTGCATGTGACTATTCTTTGTTAATAAATGCACATTTATTTTCATCATAAATAGATTACAGTGTTGTGTTGTAAAGAACCTGATGCAAAATCCTCCCTCTCTGTATATACTGTTTCCCTTGGTAATTACTTGGTAATTAATGTGAATATCCTGTGGCTGGGGCTGGATGGTAAAGGGCAATGCTCTTCAAAGGGGCTTTGGGGATAGGGGTGTACATATTGTTAACCTGCAAATCAAAATAGAAGAGAATGTGAGTTGCTGAAAGGCCGGCAGTATACAAGAGCTGATACTCAGATACCACAAGACAAACTCCCTCACACTAGAGGCAAGGTGACCCTCAATCCAGGGTGCCCCCAAAAACATCACAGTGTAAAATTTAAATATTTGCTTATTTAAATTATTTATGAAAAAATATTACTTTTGTGATCAAGTAACAAGCAAAAGTCTTGTCAAGAGCAAATCAAGTAGTAAGAGCTACAAACAAGGTGAATTCTGGCCCTATATAAGTCTATATTAAAACTGGCGAGGAGTCCTGTGGCACCTTATAGACTAACTGAAGTGTTGGAGCATAAGCTTTCATGGGCAAAGACCCACTTCATCAGATGCATGTAATGGAAATTTCCAGAGGCAGGTATAAATATGCAGGCCAGAATCAGGCTGGAGATGACGAGGTGGATCCAATCAGGGAGGATGAGGCCGACTTCTAGTAGCTGATCTGGAGGTGTGGATTCCAAGAGAGGAGAAGATGCTTTTGTAGTTAGTGACCCATTCACAGTCTTTGTTTAATCCTGAGTTGATTGTGTCAAACTTGAAGATGAACTGTAGCTCAGCAGTTTCTCTTTGAAGTCTGGTCCTGAAGTTTTTTTGCTGCAGGATGGCTACCTTTAGATCTGCAATTGTGTGTCCAGGGAGATTGAAGTGTTCCCCTACAGGTTTTTGTATGTTGCCATTCCTAATATCTGATTTGTCTCCATTGATTCTTTTACACACTGTCCAGTTTGGGACTGTCCAGTTTGGCTGATGTATATAGCAGTGGAGCATTGTTGGCACATGATGGCATATATTACGTTACTAGATGTGCAGGAGAATGAACCAGTGACAGTATGGCTGATCTGGTTAGGTCCTGTGATAGTGTTGCTGGTGTATATATGTGGGCAGAGTTGGTACCGAGGTTTGTTGCATGGATTGGTTCCTGAGTTAGTTATTATGGTGCGGTGTGTAGTTGCTGGTGAGAATATGCTTCAGATTGGTGGGTTGTCTGTGGGCAAGGACTGGCCTGCCTCCCAAGGCCTGTGAAAGCGAGGGATCATTGTCCAGGATGGGTTGCAGATCACTAATGATGCATTGGAGAGGTTTTAGCTGAGGACTGTAGGTGATGGCCAATGGTGTTCTGTTTCTTTCTTTCATGGACTTGTCCCGTAGCAGGATGCTTCTGGGTACACGTCTGGCTCTGTCAATCTGTCTCCTCACTTCCTCGTGTGGGTATCGTAGTTTACAGAATGCTTGTTGAAGATCTCTGTCTGAGGGGTTAGAGCATATGCGGTTGTACCTCAGCTCAGGAAGGCCTCCGCGGGGCTCCCTGCTGCCCTGCTCCTTCTGCGGGCCGGAATGCCGCCCCTCGCAATGTGCCGTCCCAAGCATCTGTTTGGTTTGCTGGTGCCTGGAGCCAGCCCTGCGTGCGTGTCCATTACCTCATCCTCCTTAGCAGTGGCTTATGGTGGGAAGGTGTCCAACCGCAGAGTTAGGAGTAAGGCAGGCCTCTCCAGAAACCCTGTGAGCAGCAGTGCAAGGTTCCTTTGTGGCAATCCCCAGACTGAGAAGGCTGAGCAAGGAGCGTGCAAGCCCTTCACCGCCTCCCCCCATGCGTATGTAAGGAAAGTAATGGAACTCACCCGATGGGCCTTTCCTGCCGTCGTCCTATCCTTGGCCAACATTCTGGGAGGCGGGGTACCAGCTGCAGTGCTGGGACGACCTCCTGGCGGGCACTCCTCATGTCCATGCTTGGCTTCATCCTCCTCCTCCTGTACCTTCACGTCCCTGGCCATCTTCTTCAGGTGGCTCATGATGGGAATCTCCTGCCCTGAGTCCATGACAAAGGGGGGCACAGGACTACCCCTTTCCCAAGAAGTGATGGAGCTGCCCGTAGTAGAGGCAGATCTGGGGTGCTGCCCCTGAGCAGGCTGTGCTCCCTGGCCTTTGTGTAGGCCTGGAACAGTTCTTTGACCTTCATGTACACTTACTCCTGTGTGCATGCATGTTTGTGTAGGCCTGGAACAGTTCTTTGACCTTCATGTACACTTACTCCTGTGTTGGTTTTCCTCTTCACACCAGATCTCAAAGAGATCGAGGATATCCGCACCAGACCAGGATGGTGCCCTCCTATTTCAGCCCCGGACAGGGGCTTGAGAACTGCCTGAGGCAGTGCTGGCAGTTGTGGGGGGCTTGGCTAGAGCAGTGGGCTCACCATGGCAGCAGGGAAGGTTGTGCAGGGTCCTGCTGTCTGGCATGATGCAATCAGGGCCTGCTTCATGCCACATGCTGTTTCCCTTCTGCCTGCAGCTTTAAAACCTGCAGAGGAAGGGGAACTATAGAGTTCTAATGTGTGTGGACAGAGTAGCTACCAGGGCAGCTATTTTGGAAAATAGCTATTTTGGAATAGGCGTTATTCCACTTAAAATGAGGGCTACAGAATCCGGAATGAGACGCCCGTTATTTCGAGGGGCATTGTTGGCACATAATGGCATATATTACATTAGTAGATGTGCAGGAGAATTAACCAGTGATGGTATGGATGATCTGGTTAGGTCCTGTGATAGTGTTGCTGGTGTATATATGTGGGCAGAGTTGGTACCGAGGTTTGTTGCATGGATTGGTTCCTGAGTTAGTTATTATGGTGCGGTGTGTAGTTGCTGGTGAGAATATGCTTCAGATTGGTGGGTTGTCTGTGGGCAAGGACTGGCCTGCCTCCCAAGGCCTGTGAAAGCGAGGGATCATTGTCCAGGATGGGTTGCAGATCACTAATGATGCATTGGAGAGGTTTTAGCTGAGGACTGTAGGTGATGGCCAATGGTGTTCTGTTTCTTTCTTTCATGGACTTGTCCCGTAGCAGGATGCTTCTGGGTACACGTCTGGCTCTGTCAATCTGTCTCCTCACTTCCTCGTGTGGGTATCGTAGTTTACAGAATGCTTGTTGAAGATCTCTGTCTGAGGGGTTAGAGCATATGCGGTTGTACCTCAGCTCAGGAAGGCCTCCGCGGGGCTCCCTGCTGCCCTGCTCCTTCTGCGGGCCGGAATGCCGCCCCTCGCAATGTGCCGTCCCAAGCATCTGTTTGGTTTGCTGGTGCCTGGAGCCAGCCCTGCGTGCGTGTCCATTACCTCATCCTCCTTAGCAGTGGCTTATGGTGGGAAGGTGTCCAACCGCAGAGTTAGGAGTAAGGCAGGCCTCTCCAGAAACCCTGTGAGCAGCAGTGCAAGGTTCCTTTGTGGCAATCCCCAGACTGAGAAGGCTGAGCAAGGAGCGTGCAAGCCCTTCACCGCCTCCCCCCATGCGTATGTAAGGAAAGTAATGGAACTCACCCGATGGGCCTTTCCTGCCGTCGTCCTATCCTTGGCCAACATTCTGGGAGGCGGGGTACCAGCTGCAGTGCTGGGACGACCTCCTGGCGGGCACTCCTCATGTCCATGCTTGGCTTCATCCTCCTCCTCCTTGCTTCTGGGTACACGTCTGGCTCTGTCAATCTGTCTCCTCACTTCCTCGTGTGGGTATCGTAGTTTACAGAATGCTTGTTGAAGATCTCTGTCTGAGGGGTTAGAGCATATGCGGTTGTACCTCAGCTCAGGAAGGCCTCCGCGGGGCTCCCTGCTGCCCTGCTCCTTCTGCGGGCCGGAATGCCGCCCCTCGCAATGTGCCGTCCCAAGCATCTGTTTGGTTTGCTGGTGCCTGGAGCCAGCCCTGCGTGCGTGTCCATTACCTCATCCTCCTTAGCAGTGGCTTATGGTGGGAAGGTGTCCAACCGCAGAGTTAGGAGTAAGGCAGGCCTCTCCAGAAACCCTGTGAGCAGCAGTGCAAGGTTCCTTTGTGGCAATCCCCAGACTGAGAAGGCTGAGCAAGGAGCGTGCAAGCCCTTCACCGCCTCCCCCCATGCGTATGTAACCGCACCAGACCAGGATGGTGCCCTCCTATTTCAGCCCCGGACAGGGGCTTGAGAACTGCCTGAGGCAGTGCTGGCAGTTGTGGGGGGCTTGGCTAGAGCAGTGGGCTCACCATGGCAGCAGGGAAGGTTGTGCAGGGTCCTGCTGTCTGGCATGATGCAATCAGGGCCTGCTTCATGCCACAAGCCCTTTCCCTTCTGCCTGCAGCTTTAAAACCTGCAGAGGAAGGGGAACTATAGAGTTCTAATGTGTGTGGACAGAGTAGCTACCAGGGCAGCTATTTTGGAAAATAGCTATTTTGGAATAGGCGTTATTCCACTTAAAATGAGGGCTACAGAATCCGGAATGAGACGCCCGTTATTTCGATATTATTTTGAAATAATGAACATGCTGTATAGACGCTCTCTTTAGTATTTTGAATAACGCTAATGTGTAGACATGCCCTAAAAAAGCAGAATATTCTCAGCGACAGACCATCCATTTCCTATCTTCTACTCAAATAGAGTGTGGATCTTTAAAGGGTGGCCACACAACCAGACATCTTCCTCTCATTCTTGGGAAGACTGCTCAGAGACTGACTCCTACTTCTTCAAAAATCAGAGGGTCTTAGCCCTGGCCTACTCTAGGGGGTTATTTCAAAATAACCCCCCTTAGGTCGAATTTGTAAGCAGAGCATCCACACTATCAAGTCCGTTATTTTGAAATAACAGGCAGCTTATTTAAAAATCTGTACTCTTGCTTTTCTTGGGGAATAATGCTAATTTCTAAATAACAGTGTGGATGCTCTGGTGCCATTATTTCAAAATAAATACTCCCCAGAGAAA